AAAAATCTGCTGTTCTTCGTTTATTCAACTAATGCTGTATTATATATGAAAACCTTTAAAGTTTAAATAAGAAACTAGTAGCTTCACATAATTTTCTTTAATAATAAATATCTTAGGTTTATTTGTAGAACCAATAGACTTAGCCAAATACACTGTGAGTACACTATAATTTAGAATGTGCACAGATACTCCCATAACCATGGGTAGTACAACTTATCATTGATTCAGCTTGACTAATTATACACAACATTATTGAATGTTTTTTTTTTAGATAAAGATAATATAATCTATTGTGGTATCTAGATGCTTTTATTGGAAGTTATCAGTGGACAATATCAACAACTGACAGTGTTAACTATTATTATTTTGATTAGAGAAACTAAAAGAAGAAAGCTCCAGAGATAACTAGTGACATTTGCTTCTGTAGCAATGTAGCTATAACAAGTTGACAACACGCTATGGTGAAACGTCTTTATGGCTGGATGTCATTTAGAATGAGATTGAAAATTTGCTATGTTATGTTGTGTGTTTTTTCTGTGACATTAAGTAAGTATCCTGTACTACTTCTACTAGTACTACAGTGTTGTTACTCAAATGCTATAGTAATACTGTAAGTCTGAACAAACTTAAGTTTAAAGGATTGTTAATTCTCTGGTTTTTAAGTTTATCAAGAGTATACAACATAATTTGAAGAAAAAACTATTTTGTAAAACAGAAAGAGGAATTTTATCATTGATAATACTTTAATAGTATGGTTTTGGAAAGTATATTTTTTAAACTTTGGTGTTTGGAGTGTTAGTAACTAACTTACATATAATTTGCCTTAATATCTAGAAGACCTCTGATTAAATTCTTAATATAATAACAGTTAATAAATTAAATTGTTGTTGTATGTTAACATTGATATAAACAATTAAAAAAGTCTTACCTCATATTTAAAGGAGTGTTTCGTTAAAATGCCATGTCCTTTGAGTCAGTGTCATGAGTTGGGTTTCCCAGTTTTTGTTATGGAGTCTTATGTGAATGATTTACTAAATATTAAGCAAATGACCAGGACTGACAGTGATGCAATAAATAGTCTTAACAGAACTTGATATGAAAGGGTATTCAATAAGTGATTCAAATTTTTAAAAATATATTAACTTTAATAGTGAGAATTGTAAAGTATTTTAAATAAAATTATACTATCTTTCCTAACAATGTTATAGAAAAAACATTTTGTGTTTGATCAAAGACATGTATTTTTTCTAAGTATTTGTGTTGAAAAGAGTGAAAGAAAATAATATGTTTACAGACATTTTATAATAAGTAAAAAGGTTATTTTTGTGTGACATAAACTTTTGCCCTAGACCTCAGTAAAATTAAGTTGGTTTTGAGGTTTTTACCTTAAAAATATTATTATGTTAGAAAAGCTATCAGAATGTTTTTACTTTGTATAACATGAGTTTTAAAGTGAGTAATAATATCACTTTTTGTGAATGGAGAATGGTAATTTAAGTGTAAAAAATGAGCAATTTTATGAACTTCTAGTAATAGTTAACCTAGTTTTGAAATAGTAAAATTAGAATTTTATATTTAAAAATGATGTCCTAAGTGCATTTTTGTTTTACATGCAGATGGAAGATATTTTCTAAGAACAAGAGATCATTGTTAACGTATTATAAAATTTGTTTCAAGAAATACTTTACACATGCTTAAAAATCAATCTACCTGATACTAAACAATACATACCCTCCATTTTTACTGTTGATGCATTTGTGTGGAAGTTTGATGGTAATCTTGATAACTCAAGGTCTCTTGTTACCCAGAGTTTCTCTCACTAGATTTCAGGAAATTACATTTTTGCATTTTAAGGTTTTATTAAATTGATAAAGGTAATGCATAAAATATATAAATTTGGTTATAAAATAATGTAATTTTAATTTGAGATAATCTGGAATGTGGAGACAGTATGATGTTTTGATGTGATGAGAAAGTAGATGTACCAGTGGTAGAGATTATACCTTCAGGCTTTAGAAACTGTGCAGATTTGTTTTTAAACAATATTACTTCTTTCTTTAAAATTTTTTGAATGGTTAGGTTTGCTGTAATGCAGTGGCTTGTACATTATATAACTTTAATGTTGTAATGGAAATGTTACAGTTCATAATGGTGTTTAGTGTAGCTGGGTTATTAATGTAAGTAATATGTAATTAATTACTTACAAGCATTGATTATATTAACATAACATAATATTTTTGGACAACATGGGACCTATTGGTCCATCCTGGCTGTTCCATCCTCAAAACTAAATTAGAATGATAGAAAAAATTTTAAACCCAGCCCTTTTCATTCATATACTTATCAAGCTTTCTTAAACTCATTTACATTTACT